CACACACACATATACATATATTAGACTAAAATATTTAGTGGGCATTATAAAAAGAGTTAATAAAAACTATTTTTATCAATTTCCAAATGATTCTCTCTTGACTATGGTCTATGCCCAGTGAAATAACTAACACATGTTTCCCAGCAGTAACAATACTGCCAATGGAAGCTGCATAATTCCATGCTTTGAGGGGAGTCTTTTGAGTTCTAGAATGTTTTGCAGCATCCTTAGCTGATAGATGCCAAGGTAGGCTTCTCCCTCAGATGTGATAACCAAAAATATCTCCAGACATTACCAAGTGCTTCCTAGGGGACAAAAAGGCTGTACATGATGATGGGATCATGTACCATATTGTTTTCACATATGTATGTAAGAAAATCATGTCAAATTCATTCTACTGTCTTTCCTTTTCCTATTCCTCTCCCTTCCCTTCATTCCCTATTTTCTAATCTACTGAACTTGTATTCTCCCCCACCCTTATTATGGTTTGGCTTTCACATATCAAAGAAAATATTTAACCTTTGGCTTTTGGGGACAAGCTTATTTCATTTGGCATGATAGTCTCCATTTCCATCCATTTAGTGGCAAATGTCATAGTCATTCTTTTTATGGCTGAATAATATTACATTGTGTATATTCAGCCATAAAGAATAATTTCTAGATTTTCACCATTTTCTTTTTGTTTCTCCAGAAATAATTACTGCTTTTAAGTTTTAATATGGGTCACAGTCATTTACATGTTGCATTATATATCATTATTACTGCTCATTCTCCTTTTCCTTTTCAGTTCTTGAAAACTAGAAAAAAATTTATCAGATACTCTGTGGCGTTCATACTATTTCTTACTCCTGTGCTTGGGCAATGTTAAACAATACTACAGTAATTTTCTTTTCTTTTCAGTGTATATGTAGCATATCAATTTATTTTATTTCCAAGTATTTGGGAATTTTCCAAATACCTGTTTTGATTTATAACTTAATTCCATTGCATTTTGTGAAATATTTTGTATGACTTGAATCATTTTAAATGTATTGGCACTTGTTTAATGGCACAAAATATGGTTTATATTGTAAGTATTTTTTTATATTTTAAAAGAATTCATGGTCTACTATCATTGTCAATGTTCAAGTTTGTTTGATAGAATCTTTACTGAAGTCCGGGTACTTGAGAGAATATTTGAGAATGTTTGACAATAATGTGTACTTGCCTATTTCTCTATGAAATATTGTGGTTTTTTTTTTTTTACTTCTTGTATTTTGAAACTGTTATTAAACAAATAAAATTTTAGGATTACTATGTTCTCTTGATGACTTGTACCTTTTATTGATATGAAATTACCTTCTTATCCCTGGCAATAACCTTTGTTCTGATTTGCTTTTTCTTATAATAATATAGCTATGTTAAGTTTGTTTTAATTAGTGTTAATATAGTATATCTGTTTTCCCTCTCTTTACTCTCTCTTTCCCTCTCTTTACTTTATTTTTACAAAATATTGCCTCTATTTTATAGTATATTTGTTATAAGCTGGATATAATTGCATCCCAACAACCATAGAAATTTTTCACAGCTGTTAGTTCTCTCACCTTGAGCATGAAGTAGGATTGTTTCCCACCTACTAGAACTGAGATCTGACTCTTTTACTTTAGTGCATGCTCTAAGTGATACAGATCACTTCTGAATGGGAGCTTTCAGTCAACGTTTAGTTTTCTATGTTTCCCTTTCCTGACTTGGCAGTCATGGAAACAGAAGAAGAGGAAGTCCCATCAGCCTGGGTCCCTCAGAAACAAGAATCAGCAGAGCCTTCAAGCTGACCTGTGATAGACGCAGGGTATAAGCAAGAATTGCACTTGATTCTCATAAGCCACTAATATTTGGGGATTATTTATTGTCTCACATATCTATCTTATCTTGACTGATAAAACATATTTTCCCATGCCCTGATGTTGCTACTTAACAATTTCCAAAAATATTTTCATCTTCTGTGTCTTCAGACAATTCTTTTCCATGTGTGGGTCAAATATCCACATCCTGTAGTTTTTATTTCTGTTTTGCCTTATCCTTTAATGGAGTAATTATCTATATAGATCTTCTTTTGGCTGGAAGACATGGTATAGATTGCCCTGATACCCACCATTTTCCACCTCTGTAGGTATAGGATCACTTTCTTATTTGAGGTCAGGAGATGTGTCCACTTCTTATATCAGGTAACTATTTTGGGTATCTTTCTGAACTGAAGAGGAAATTTTTTGCCACATGTCTCGTGTGAAAATAGTAAAATTTCATACTTTGAAACATATGAAATCCATCTGTAGTTATTGTATTGACCTTAACAAATGAATAAACAAACAAAAGCACTCAACATGAAATATCACTTCCAGGTATTTTGTTGCTCTCATGCCCACCCGTCTGACTTACAGCTTAGACCTGTTGTGTATAAAATAAAATAACACTGACATTACCAGTTGGAAAGGTTGAATAAAACAACAGAGGTCTGTAATGTACACGACACCATGCTCATTTCACTGGTTCAATTCAGTATTATATTATTTGTCAAGGCCTGTTACATTCTGTTATAATCCTGTTTATTTTTCTTGTTTACTATTGGCAAAGCTATTTTACTGAACTTTTTTGGAGTCCTTTCCTTTCCATGGCAAGGGTATCCAATGATTTTGAAAGCAAAATTATTAAAGTGTGAAATTCTATGGTTCAGTCATTTTCAATCAGTCCTCCGGTTTCCTTAATAACTGTCCTAATAAAATAGCTCTCTAGGTATTATTTTGGAAAGGTGTGTGCTATATGGACCCACCAAATTTTTACATCAAATTTCTTGGGTCCAGAACAAATAGAGCAGGTAGCTGCCTCTGTTGAGAACTGAGGCTTAACAAGGTTTATTCCTGTCTGGGTTCGTTACACATTACACAAGGACATCCAAGGAAATGTCAAATGAGATCTTTAGTTTTCATTGGGATAAAATTAGACTGGGTCTGATGAGCCAGAGGAGTGCGATTGAGAGCCCCCAGCACAAGCCTCAAAGCGCGGCTGTGCCCACAGACTTATCCGCAAGGCAGTTCTCCTGGGATTCTCAGACCTGCTGCCAAATTCACCACTCAGTTCCTGTCTCTCCATGTGACTTTCTGCTTATCCTGGCTTTACTTCTCGTTCTTTTGCACTCAGCTGGTTTTCTTGGCGCCCCTGCCCCCAACTTCCCCAATAATCTGATTCCCTGGCTCCCACACATGGCACCTCTGTTAGAACGCAACCTTAATTTGACACTGTCTTGAACTTGTTCACTGAGAGAAAGGCCTTTTCCCAGGCAGCCACAGCCAGAATATCTTAACCCAGCTACATCCTCCCTGCTGGATATTATTAATTGCTAGAAACTCTCACTTTCTACCATAATTATACTTACTTCCATTTATATTCAAATTAACCCTTTCAATCTTATTAACCCCTTAAGAAAAGAGTGATCCATCTGACCTAGTATTATTATTTTGTAAAGTGCAAGCTAAGTTCAGATAGTTTGAATATTATCATCTCTAAAAGGCTCTTTTTTTTTTTTTTTTTGGTTTGGTAAATGAAAAAATTCTCACTTAGCTCTTTTTTCGTCATTTCCTTCTGCTGATCATCCTCACCCACTTCACACACTTGCCCAAGCTAGCTTTGATGCTCATTACTAAGTGTTACCATTAATGTTTGAACTCAGAGTTTACAATTTTGCCAATGAGGCTGAATAATTCTTTGTTATAGGAGGCTGATCTGTATATTGTGGAATATTTGGCAACATCCCTGTCCTCTATCAGCTAGATGTCAGTAGCAAGCCTTGACCCTCAGTCTGGATGATTAAAAATGTCCCTAGACATTGCCAAACGTCTCTAGAAGGCAAAATTACTTCTAGTCGAATATCACTGTGTCTGATGAGCCATATTTGATATACGTAGGGAAAAAATGTTTTAGGAAGGTATGTATCTGTTTTTCTGCTATAACACAATACCTGAGACTTGGAAACTTATACTAAACAAAAAATTATTAGTTCATAGTTTTTGGAAGCTTGGATTTGGAGTCTATGCAAGATCTAGGAATTGGCATCTGACAAGGACCTACTTTCTGCATCATTCCAAGTGGAAACTCAAAGAGAAGGTGAAAGAGTAACAGATCAAACTCATAACCTCAAGCCCTTTATAAATGGCATTAACCCATTCCCAAGGGTGGAGCCCTTATGACCTAAACACCTCCCATTAGGTACTATTTCCAAATGTTGTCACATTGAGAGTTAAGTTTCCAACTTTTGGGGGAATGCATTATAACCACAGCAGTAAGAGCTGTCTTGTAGAGACTTGTCAAAATTTTTCAGTTTTCTTCATTTTCTAAGGATTATATGAATTTTTTAATTAGTAAACATGACAGAAGATTTCCGTACATGTGCCTACAAATGGATAAGTTGAAATCCACATTCTCTTACATGTATCTGCAAGGACCAACTCCCCAAGCTTCAACTAGTTTTCAGGAGTTTAACCAGTTATCCCTTCCTACTCATTCTGACTCTTCCAAATGCAATTCTCTCCTACATTTTCTAATTAGAGACTTCTGCATGACTATGGAAAAATGGTGGCAGTCACGAAATAAATTCAGCCATATGTTTTCTTTCTTTATAATGAAAAAATATATACTTGTCTATTTCTAAAGCAACTTTTCAAAATGATTGTCAGCTCACGTCAAACTTTAATTTTAAATTTGCCTGCAAGGGAGGTTTAGATTTCTCTTTGGGTAGATTTTATAAGAAACTAAAGGTAAACGGAAAATACTGTTAGCAAGATAAAAGACAGAAAAAGTCATTTGGCCTGTTAAACAAATAATTAGCTGAATGAGTAAAATCTAGCTTGCCAGGAAAAAAAAAAAAGAAAAATTTAAACTCATTGAAATCTATCAAAAGGACAGATATTTTGCAGCAGCCTTTGTTAATAATATCATCAACCCAAGTTCGACTTCTGACAGCATTTTCTAAGATTTGAAAGACTTTTTTTTTATTCACACTAATCAAATTTTAGAAAATGGCTGTATGAAGGAGACAAGTAGAGGTGGAGTGAAATATTAACAGATAGGGCTGTGTCCCGTTACTGCGAGCATGCTTTTTTGACCCAGGATCCTAAATTCCTTGCTCTTGCTCAGGTCTAGTTCCTCCTTTCTTAGTACCTTCTTCTTAGACCTCCATCATGGGGTTCTCCACTCCTTTTGGGAAATCTTCATCTAAAAATTTTGATGTTGCTTTAGGAATTCCACTTTCCTTCATCAGTGCCTGTCTCTGGAACTGAGGAGTTGGTAAGTCTTTAGGCCTTGATCAGGAGAGTCCATTTGGGGCTTTGATGTACATGGTATAGTCAATGGTGGGAGATAGATAAAAGTTTCTGAGTATGGGCCTTTCTCAGATGCATACATAGAAACACACACACACACACACACACACACACACACACACACGATTCTTGAACAACTCTTAGAGAATATAGCACCTTTTCTAACTGCTTCATCAGCATAAGCCACCTTGCTTGGTAACGCCTTTCACTTGCATCTTCTTTCATTCAGATTGTGTTCTCTCAGACCTACTAGAAATAAGACTTAGATGTATCACTGAATTATACACGGCTTTCATACTCCAAAACTGTGCTAAAACTTAGAAATTAATTCTTTCAGAGTTTAGCTGAATTCTTAGGCAAAGTAGTAACTGTGCTATAATGCCTAAAATCAAGGCCCAAGATTTTGTGCTGCCATAACATCTAGAAGAAACTAAGAGGCCCTAATGGTCTAACTACAAGTTCTACTCCCCATTCAGCTCACACAGCTAAGGTCCTCTAGGCAAATGGTCCTCACTATCACAAGGACAGGTACAGTTCTTGCTTAGCCCTGAGTAGCAATTTTCAGTCTCTGCCAGTCCCCAGAACTATTCAAAGCCAATCCCACTCCACAGAGAGCCAGGGACACCATAGCTCCTACTAGTTTGCTCATCCCAGAGTGCAACCCCTGTGCCATCCTGCCTGGTGTGGGGTATATTCCTACCCTGAGCTGTAAGTATGAATAGCTAATCGACTCCTATTGAGTGTCAGGCATCTTATGTCCCATTGCAGGAACTGCTTATTTATCACCATTTGAGTGAATAAGAGACAATCTAAACTACAATGATTCTTAACTTTGAGTTAATGACAGTGGGATAAGATGGGATAAGAAGGTCATTATTCTAATAACTTGTAAACATTGGCATACAATATGCATATAGCAAATGATAATTAACTATATAAATCAAGTCTACTTTTTTATTTTTTTCAGTATAGGGGATTGAACCCTGGGCCTTGTACATGCAAGGCAAGCACTCTACCAATGAGGCAAGCCCTCCTATGTTCATAATTTTGATCAGGGCTTTTATAGAAAGTGCTTATTTATATCTATCTCCAAATTTATCTCCTCACTCAGTATTGCATCTTTCATTCTACTTCTTCCTTTGATATCCCATTATCTTTTTTTCCTGGAGCACATTCCTCAGTAGTTCTTTCATTACAAGTTTATATGTGCAAAGCTTTCTTGTTCTGTTTCCTGAAGATAACTTCATTTTTCTTTCATTTAAAATAGCAGTGTAGCCAGTTATGGAATTTTAGTCTGACATTTATTTTCTGTCAGCATTCAAAGATTTTCCATTGTACTCCTGTCTTTACTGTTGCTGATAAATCTGCTGTTGATCTAAACGATGTTTCTTTATTAGTAAGTGCTTTTCTTTATTTTTTATTTTTTTGGATGGTGTTAAGCTTTTGTTTTGGTTTGTCTCCCCGTCTCTCTTTCTTTGCTTTATGTTGTACTATGTAGGTGTTTTAATACTGTGTATGTTTTTATGTATTGATTTTTATTTTTAATTTAAAACTCACAGTGAGCAAATTTCACACTACTTCTAGACAGTTCAATGAAGACTTAAGTCTGTTTGCACTTCTTTGCAACCATTAACCTAACATAGAGAATGTTCCCATCATCCCCAAGAGATTCACTCATGAAACTTCCTTGTCAATGCTCTCCAGATGTCAACAATAATCTGATTTCTATCCTCATTTCACCTGGTTTTGAACTTCATAAAGATAGATCTATACAGTATGTATACTCTCTAATAGCATATTCTTATTAACACTTAAAAATTTATTCTTAGCTTTTCCTGATTTTCAGTTTTGTGATTCATATATATACAATATCAAAATTAAAATGAGAATAAAAAACATATAGCATGATATCATTTGTTTCAAAATAGACAAACTACTAAACATTTTTAAAGGGACATAAAGTAACTATTTTAGTCTTTATAGGTCGCATCATGTCTATTGTGTATTATTCTCTCCATCTTTCTCTTTCTCTTTCATTTTCCACAACCATTTTAAATGTAAATGCTACTTTCATCATTAGGACTGAAAAATATAGTCTGAGCGAAGTTTGCCAACCCTTGCTATATAGTGCTACTTATTTACTGATTTTCCCACAGAATTATTCTTATCGCTTTTTCTATCTTTTTCTAATCCAAATAAAATTTGCTTTCTTCTCTTCCCAAATACAAGTTTATGAAAAGCAAATACAATTTATATTTTGGTTTCACAAATTTAGTCCAGAGATTTTATAACCTAACCCAGCTTCAAAAAGATCCTAACGTACGAAAATTTATAGTATTTTCTAATAAAAGTTGGGAAATAAAATGTGATCAAAAAGTACACAAGAACAGACCTGAAATTCCATAAAACATTAAAATTGATTTAAAGGAATTTGGGTATTTAATATATTTATTCTGATAACTCATTCCTTTCCTTATTTTATCAATTAGTCTCTTTGAAAGCACCCACATTGCCTCAGGCTTTAAAGAAATCTTTGCAATTTCTTCCAGTAGTCATACAACAAGTTTTTTTTTTTTCCCCAAAACTTGAGCAAGAAGCCTATTAAAACTATGGTTATGTCTGCCAAAAACAATTGGTCTGTACAGGTAGCAAAGCAATGCTTTCCCAGCCCAGCTATAAATTCACTGGGGAATCATTTGTTCTATCAGTACATACCATCGATCTTGCTCTATGGGGTGTTTGATCTTATCTCTCTAAGATTAGGGCCAGCAAATGTGCTAATTGTGACCTTATGTAACAACTTTAGTAACTCAGGAAAAAAGAAAGTTTCCTTATTAAAGATGATTCAGTCTTCCTCAGCCAGGCCATGGGGTTTTATTATTTTGAACTAATCTCTAACTCTAGAAAACTCTGAATCATATTTAAGAGACACATTTATGTTTAGAGTAAGCATTGTTGGAACCCTGTACAATAAACCAGTAGAAGTAAGGTCTAAATACCTTGGAAAACTAGTATTGTCTAGTTTTCCAAGGTATTTAAATTTTGTCTAACTTTTCTTTCTTCCTTCTCCTTCCTTCCCTCCCCCTCCTCCCCCTCCTCCTCCCCCTCCTCCTCCCCCTCCTCCTTCTTTTCCTCCTCCTCCTCCTGTTCTTCTTCTGATTATTTACATAATTGAAAGGTTCTTTGGGTTGGATCATGATTGAGATCCTATGCCAGCCACTCTTTGGGTGAAGCCAGATTTTCCAAAATCACACGTGTCTTGTTTTGCATGCACTGGTTCAGGATGCAGAGAATCACGTGTTGAAGGGCGATGACTGTCAGTACAACTGCAAGAACAAGACCCAGCCTGCCAAAGGACCATTAAAATGAATATGAGAGAGAGAGAATGTTGGGAATTCTATGGAGGAATCTCATCAACAACTAAATTTTAATGAACTGAACTGGAGTTATGGTCTGAGAGTGTAATATCTGGATATCTGCTTAGAAACTTGAAGATCTAAATAGTAGCCAGAACCTCCCCTATCTCATCTTAACTGAGCTCTCCCCTTCCTTCCTCCACTGAAAGATTCTCTCCTGGCTGAATCTTGTATTTCAGTTAAAATGTTGCTTCTTAAACATAAAGACATTTCATATTTCCCTACATTGTTTGATGGTAAGTATTTTTTATCTTAGTTATGTATTGGTCTTCAGGGAGAGAGAGGAAGTTAGAGATGAAACAAGGATAACACATCTTTAAGCTTTCCTTTGAATACCATCTTGCAACATGGCTGATTACATAAATTTGAAACAAATACTATCCTGGAGCATTTTGTAGAGCAGATCCTGTTTGTACATTTAGAAACAAATATGTAAAAATATGTTCCTATGTACGCTAGATGGTTGCTTTTCACACTGTGCAGAATTTGTCCTTTTCCCAATGTGTATGTTTTGTTTTACAGACAAAACATATAAAGAGGCTATTCAACAACCACAGTGAGAAAGCATATTTCTCTCTTTGGGGGTAGGTAAGGCTCCAGGTGGGAAGACAGTGAAACGTTGGCCGTGGCTTTCAAAAGATCCACTGCAGGCTCTAACAGCATCCAATGTGATAATCCATATTGAAGGAGTCACAAACTCATAATTCATTCAACTCAAAGGCATGCAGCTTCTTTATAAACTTCATTCAACTTCAAAAAATTAAATGTTTTTCCGTCTGCTCACTGTCCTTTCATGTGCCAAAGTACATCTGATAGAAGGAGATGGAGGAGAAAATGAACTATATAGAAATTAAAATACTTAGGACCAAGACATGGGAGAGCAGAAGGGAAGGAGGGAATTAGAATTCTCTCTTCTGCTGAGCAGTGTGAAGAGGAGACATCTACATTTACCTTAAACACAAGGACTTCCAGAATTTCAGTCTGTACCCTAAAAAGGATGTTCTCTCTAATACTAAATTTTCTTTTAATGTACAGCAGGAAAAGTAAAACGACTGCCACAATTAAATCATTTAATTAAATCCTGCTCATAACAGATTCCTTAGTTCCATGGTAAACCCCAAATGTGTGCTACAAAGAAAAGACAATAACAGATATGCCACAACTCTTAGTATAAATGTTATTGCTCTAACAACTTTTAGTTTGGAAAAGGAAAGTCTGATATGGGTAGTGGGTTAAATTAGGCAGTAACATTTTAATGCAAATGTTTCTGTGATATGACCTGCAGACACTTTAATACAAATCTGAAATACAAACACATGTACCTCATTTAAAAAAAAAAAAAACTTCAAATTTCATTGTTTATCCTTATGACTAATAGACTTCATAATGGTAGCTACTCTGCTTCTGATTCTTGTGAGAGGTCCTTTATGTATATTTTCTCATTTAATCTTCACATGACTCTATAGAGTAGGCATTATGACCTTCATTTTATAAATGTGAATATCAACTAAGAAAGGTCAATTAACTTGTCCAAAGCCCCACAACTAATCATTAGCTGAGTTCCTACCACTTTTAAGGTTCTGTAAACAAGAAATCAAATCTCATAAGGTTCCCATAGAGGTTTCTGCTCACATGAACATTAAAAATAGCATCCTGGCCCTTTGGATTTCTGCCCAGTGCTCCTTCTACTATTTCACATCTTGTGTATCCACATTTCTACCATCGTCTAAAAATTAAATGGTCCCAACACCCGAACTGAATGCAAAAGCTGAAATCTCTAGAGCCTGAAATGTCGACTCATAAATCTTTTTGTAACCCAAAAACTAAAATTAGTTATAAACTTTACCCTAGACTCTTTTTATTAAATAAGAAGTATGCTTCACATTAGTTATCTTTTATCCAGTGGCTAATCTATAGGGGTCTGTATAGACTTTTTTTTCAATTTAATGAAGAACATTGATTTTTAAATGGGAAAAATGTATTTTTGTTTTCTTCTTCTGGTTGTACAACATCCTGTAAGGAATAAACTTTTGTTCTGGTAGGAGCTCTATGCAATGTGTGGCCTAATTAAATCCACACTGTCAAAAGGCTAGAGACTGGGCTTTCTCCACCCTGCTGTGACACACCTCTGGAACACAGAACTGTATCTGGAACACTTACCGTATCCGGAGTACATCAACCAGAAAAACGAAGAGACATGCTACCTTCATCCAAACAGGAAATCTAAAACCTCTGGCCCTTTTTGGGAAGACTAAGGGGTCAAAAACTTTCTAATAAAATCAACTCAGACACTTCATTTAAAGGCACAGGGGAGATTTTGTTTGTTTTTGTTTTTGTTCTTTAATTGCAGAGTCATATTCTGAAGAAGGTACAGACCTAAAAAACACAATTAATAATTTAAACTTAACAGACATACAGTACATTTCATCCATCAATCACTGAATATGCTTTCTTCTCAACAACACATGGTATATTTTCTAAAATAAACCATATCTTAGGCCACACAGCAATTTAGCCTATACCAAAAAAAAAAAAAAAATAGAGATAATACCCTGTATTCTATCATGTCATTATGGAATGAAATTAGAAATTGATAATAGGATAGAAAAATAAACTGCTCTAGCACCTGAAGACTAAATAATTCACTAAAGAATAATGAATAGGTAGAAGAAATCAGGAATGAAATAAAAAAATACTTAGAAGTAAATGAGAATAGAGATTCCACATATCAAAATCTCTGGGCCACTGTGAAGATAACTCTAAGAGGAAAGCTCATAGCATTGAGATCATGCTTTAAAATAGAAAGATACAAAATAAAAAATCTTACATTACATCTGAAGGTACTAGAAAAAGAAGAACAAATACACGCAAATATCAGTAGAAGACAGGAAATACTTAAAACCTGAATTACTCAAATTTCAATTTTAGTCATGCTTCAGTACTCTTTGCTAAGTATTAATGTCATGTTAAATGATGTCGGGTTTATATATACCCATTGCTGGTGAGATTGTGTGAGACATAGCTATGCATTTTAACATCTGCTCCTCTGACACAGATTCAAGGATTCCCACATGCCTCTGAGAACATCTTGATTTCGAAAAACACAATGCAGAAAACTCCAGATAACTGTCCGAGGAATTCAGGTTTTGATATTCAGCTTCTGTCAAAGGTCTCAAGTAATTCATTTCAAAATTAGCAATGCTAAGCACTCCCATGCAGCAGACTCCAAATTAAGAACAGACCTAGTCTTGGCCAAACAGTGGAGAAAGCACAGGGCTAATAATTAGGGCAGATGGAGGAGCAGCATTTCATTAGAACAGCCAGGTTAACAATTACCTCTGACACCAGCTATTGAGTACCCTTCATTGTGAGGCACTGGGATTATTTTAAGCATTAATCAGAAGAGATGTTCACTGAGCCATCCTATCATCTTCTGCCTTCTTGAGCAAGCTAGATATTTTTCTTTCACCTGAACTTTCTTATGAAGGATTTAAGGTTTCTCATAAAAGCCTGTGACAGAGAACTTTGAGATATTTGGTAACTAAAGAGCAAAGAAAAACTAATCACTGTACCTGCAAAGAAATCACCATGAATTGTACTTTCATGATGTGACTCCTTGAGTTGTCACTTGTTCATTCATTCTTATCTTGGTTTGCTTTAAAATAGATGAATCAAACTTTTGGGTGAATTAACCCATTTGTACTCAGTTTGTACAACTCTGGAAAGGAATTTGTATCTTTAAGTTCTGAAACCTGTTCAGATCTCTGTGCAACTGTGAATTCTCTAAATTATGTCACAATCCTATGCTAGTTCTAATATATTTGCACTGTTGCAAAAGGCTTTCCATAAACATTAGGGTTTAATAACTTTTACTTTGTTATCTCCCTTTTCCAGCTGAAAAAAAAATGAGCGGTCAGAGATCAGGGATTTGCCAAAAGTCATATAACTAAGTAAAATTTGAAAGCAGGTTTTCATTGCTGTTTTCATGTACATAACTTTAGGATACAGTGTGAAAATTGATTATATTAATTCCATCATGCTTATTACAAATTCAGACTTGTTCTTATTTATTCCATCTATGGTCAGGACATAGATGCTTACATAAAGAAACAATTAGTTTAGAGAATAAGTTTCTAAATAGAAACATAATCAATTCAATGTCCTTCTTATTACTGACATTGCCTGACTTCCTGACTTCTTGTTTTTTATATATATATATTATATAAGAGAGAGAGAGAGAAATGAATAAATCAAACTAATTCAAATATTATGTCAAATACTTATTTTTGTGGAAAGAAAGAGCTAAAAATTTAAGATCTACTTTCTTACTAATTTTTTTTCTTAAATTAGATATAATAAAAAATAATATATATACATATGTATCTGTGATATACAGTGTGTTGTTTTGATAAATATATGTTTTGAAGTGGTTAAAACAAGTTAATTAACATGACTATCACTTCAATTATCATTTGTTTTTGAAGACAACATTGAAGATCTACTCTCCTGGAACTTTTCAAGAACACAGTACACTACAATTAACTGTGATAAACAAGACTAGGCAGCAGATCTCCAGAACTTATTCATCCTGTGGCTCTGAAACTCTGTAGCCCCTAACCAGTATCTCTCCATTTCCCACTTCTTGCTCTCTGTTCAGCCACCATTATTCTATGCTCCCTGCTTCTATGGGTTCAACTCCTTGAGATGCCACATTTGAGTGACATCCTACAGTACTTGTCTTTCAGTGAAGACTGACTTCACTTAGCATAGTGGCTACCCATTGCATCCATGTCACAAATGACAGAACTTCTTTCTTTTTAAAGTATCAATGGCATTGCCACATTATTTTCTGTCTTCATTCATTTGTTGATGAACACTTAGATTGATTCTGGCTATTGTGAATCATGCTGTGGTAAACCTGGGAGTACAGATATCTCTTTGACTCACTGATATTAATTCCTTTAGATATATACCCAGAAATGGAATTACTGGATTATATTGTTATTCTATTTTTAATTTTTGAGGGACCACCATCTGGTTTGCCAAAATGATTGTACAGATGTATGCATCACCATGGTGTACAGGGGATCCCTTTTCACCATGTCCTCACTAACACTTGTTATATTTTATCTTTGTCATAGTAGCCATTTTAGCAGGGGTAAGGTAATAACCCATTGTGTTTTATTTTAATTTCTCTGATAACTAATGATATTGAGAGTGGTTTTCATATACCCGTTGGCCATGTCTTCTTTATCTCTTCCAATCTTTTGTTCATTTTTTAAATTGAATTCTTTATTTTCTTGCTGTTGAGTTGTTTGAGTTTCTTATATATTTTGATATGATGCCCTTATCAGATTATGGTTTACAAATATTTTCTTCCATTCCATAGTTGTTTATTCACTCACCAATTGTTTCCATTGCTGCACAAATACTTTTAGTCTAATGCAACCATGCTTTCCTATTTTAGCTTTTGTTTCCTGTTCTTGTTGTGTCATATTCAAAAATTCATTGCTGATATTCATGTCAAGAAGCTTGTTCCCTTTTGTTTTCTCTAAGTAGTTGGTAATGTCAAATACTGTGTTAAAGTCTTTATTCCATTTTAAGTTGATTTTCCTATGTGGTGTGATATAAGGATCTGATTTTATTATTCTGCATGTAGATCTCCAGTTTTCCTGATACCACTTACTAAATCTTGTCCTTTCCCCATTGGGTATTCTTGATACCTTTGGAGATCTAGTGACTATAAAAGCATTAATTTGTGAGCTCTCTATTTTGTTCCATTGTTCTATGTGCTTGTTTTCATACAAGTATTATGCTTTGATAATCACCAAACCTTTGTATTATATTTTGAAGTTAGATGGTATGATGTCTCTAGTTTGATCTTTTTGCTCAAGATTGCTTTGGCTACTTTAGGTGCTACAAATTGTAGGATTTTGTTAGTTTTGTGAAGTATGTTAGAATTTTGATGAGATTGCACTGAATTTTTTAATTACTTTGCATGATATGCACATATTATTATTATTATTAATTTTTCCAATGCATGAATATGGGATATTTTCCATTTATTTGTGTCTTCTTCCATGTTATTAATAGATGTCTTATGATTTTCAGTTTACAGATTGTTATGGTTAGAATATGAAGTGCATATGAAGTGCTAATATTTGGTGAAGTTTTTAGGGTTTTCTAAAACATCATGGCATCGGGAAACATGCCTTTAACTTCTTTCTTTCCAATTTTGAGGGTTTTTATTTCTTTCTCTTGCCCAATTACTCTGGCTAGGACTTCCAGTACTATATTGAAAAAGTGGCTAGAGTAGGTATCTTTGTCTTGACCCTTATCTTAGAGGAAAAATCTCTCAACTTTTTATTATTGAGTGTGATATTAGTTGTGGGCTGGTCACATGTAGCCTTTGTTATGTTGAGGTACATATTATCATGAAAAGGTCTTGAAAATTTTTAGATGCTTCTGCTGCACCTACTGAGATGATCATATGATTTTTATATTTTCCTAATGCAATATATCACTTTTAATGATCCATGATTATGTTGAACCCTATTTGCATCCCAAGGCTAAATCCTACTAGATAACTGTGTGTAATTCCCTTAGTGTGATGTTGAATTTGATTTGCTAGGAGTTTTTTCAGGATTTTTACATCTGTGCTCATTAGGGATATTGGTCTCTTTTTCTGAGAGCCTTTTTTTTCTGATTTTGGTATCAGGGTCATTTTGGCTTCATTAAAGTGATTTCAAAGTATTTTCTCCTCTTCAAAAAAGGATTGGCATTTATTTTTTAAATCATTGGTAAAACCATCTGGTCCTGGGATTTTTCTTTGTTGGTAAGATTTGATTGTTGATTCAATCTCCTTACTCATTTTGGTATATTCAGATTTTTTTTTATGTCTTTATCATTCAATCTTAGTAGGTTGTATGTTTCCAGAAATGTATCCATTTCTACTGGGTTTCCAGATTGTTGACACATAATTTTTCGTAGCAACCTCTGACGAGCCTTTGTATTTCTGCAGTCTTGGTCAATACCATATCTTTGCATGGTTCTTCTCATTCTTCCATGGGATTTTCCTCTCAGGAAATATTTCCACTTCCACAGTCATATTCTGAACCTCAGCACCACCTAAAATAATTCTATCTTTGGAGATGATTATTTCTATGTTCCACTGTCATTTCATCTTTTTTACAGCACAATTTTGCCCCATGGTGGTCTCCAACACATCAATTCAACAGTTGTATTCTATCAAGCTGCCTGTTTCCTCTTCTTACTTCCCACATTATTGGGTCTAATTTCCATGAAGAATTCATACTATCACTCATATTTTCCTCTCTGTTTTTCTTGCTTCTTTTGCACTCCTTGGGAAATACAGCCATGAATGAACCAAAGCTTTTAGATTTCTCTGTTCTCACCTTAAGACTAAGTGTTGCTGGAAAAGGTCCTGTAACTTGACTGATTGATAATACTCACAAATTCATAGCCACCCGTATTTGACATAACTAACTGATTTCCAACTGTCATCTGGTATGATCTTATTTCTCTTTCTCATACTTTTTTCATTTTACTCTTACATCTTTATACTCTTTCATTTATTCAGACAGTAGTTCTCCTAAAGCAGTCCATTGATTCTTTCACTTAGTTCTTTGAAATCATTCTAGTTTCTGTTCTTTTCTAGATCTTAGTCTTCATATTTTCCTTTCAGTCAAAAATCTACCTTTAGGAAAACATCACTAATTTCTACTTAGTCAATGAGCTCTAATACAGAAACGCATAGCTGCAAGTATGTTAAAAGCGATGCATTGCATTGAATGAAGTTGAGTTAAGACTATGGTGATGGTTCTAGTATGCTGGGCTGGGGAAGTTCTTCCTACATAGTAGTAAAGCTCCTGGTTCAATTGTCACTTGGTTTTTGCTCCCTGACACTAGAGATTAGCGAATTTAGAAGAATTTTTTTTTTTATCAGAAAGTTTGAGTTAACTTAGTTTTGTACCATTTCAAAAAATTTTTATTCTTTGTCTTTACTGAATGTATTCAAGAGCATCAATTATCTTGAATCAATGTACATTAAAATTTACCTAAACAATATCATACTCTGGTAGTCTAAATAATGGCTTACAAAGTCATTTGGGTTCTAACATCTAGAATTTGTGATTGTTACCTTGTATAGGAAAAGGGACCTGAGGGTCATAACAAGTTTTAGATCTTGAGATGGGGAGATTATCCTGGACCTAGAAGGAGACAATGAGAAATTGGACCTCAGAAAGAGAAGGTAATGTCACTCTAGAAGCAGGGGGAGAAAAGATGATATGATGCAAGAAATGGGTCATGTGCCAAGGAATGCAGGTAGGTTCCAGAAACTAGGAAAGGAAGGGAAATAGACTCTTCCCTGAGGACTCCAGAAAGAACCTGCCTTATCAACACCTTGATTTCACCCCAGTAAGACTCATTTTAGATTTCTGATCTTCAGATAGGTGAGAGAATAAATATGTGTTGTTTTAAGGCACTAAATCTGTAGAATTCTTTACAACAACCACAGAAAATGCATAGACATATTGTCTTTCTTTTTTGTACTCGTTTTTCGTTCAAGGACATACTGTTGAGATTTTTTTCCCATGATATCATTATACACCTAGTGTGTTCTTTTAAAACGAATAAACTGCCATTATGGTTTTTCCTACTGAGACATAGTTTGATTTCAAGTTTTTATTATTATCATACTTCCAAGAATATTTTCATATATGTCTTCAGC